TTTTAATGGTAGTGTGAAAAATTTGCCGGGAATCAGAAATTCGGGGCAAATTTGCCCCGAATACGGATTAAGGGATACTTTATAACCGTGGAACTGCTTATCTACAATTAGAGCAATATGAAGAATCACTTGCAGATTTTAATAGAGCATTGGTAATTGAAGCGAATAATGTATCTACACTTAATAACTGTGGAATTGCTTACCTACATTTAGAAAGATATGAAGAATCACTCGCAAATTTTAATAGAGTATTAGAAATTAAGCCAAACGATGAAGTTGCGCTTGAATATCGTAGATTTATTTATAGAAAGTTAGGTAGATATGGAAAGCCAATTGTAGACCTTAAAAAAGCATTATCCCGCAAATTTGGAAGTTATAAAGAATTACTCTCAAATATTGAAAAAGCATCAGAAATTGATACGAATAATCCGCTTGAACTTTGTGAACGTGGAAGCATTTATCTGCAATGCAGGCGATATGAAGAATCACTCGAAGATTTCAATAGAGCATTAGAAATAAAGCCAATTAATACAATTGCACTTTGTAACCGTGTAAATATTTATGCTCAATTAGAACGATATGGAGAATCGATTACAGATTTTAAAAAAGCATTAGAAATTGACCCAAATATCACAATTAATCTTGATAACAAAATATTCTCTACGTTTGGAGAAGAACTTTCTACCGAAAAATTAACTCAATGTAAAAAATTACTCGAATATTACGACAAAGTGTTAGAAATTGATCCAAGCAACTTAACTACGCTTACTTATCGCGGACTTATTTATTTTCTACTCGATAAATACGACAAGTCATTAAAAGACATTAAAAGAGTATTGGAAGTTGAACCAAATAATGAAATTGTTTTAGAAATTCATGGAACCATTTCTAAATTCTATAATGTTAAGTTGCACCTCGAAAGTAATTTTATGAATTGGACATCTAATGATGCTTTAATTGATAAGCTTATTCAAAATTGCCAATCGAAGTGTCCAAGAGTAGATAGGATTATTGAATATGTTCCTTTTGAAAATTTTAAAGATATTAAATATAAAACAAAGGGTGGATTTGGTTCTATATATACTGCTACTTGGGCTGACGGTTGGATAGTTGATTGGAATGAAGAAGCTCAAGGATTTATAAGATCCGGAGCAAAAGAAGTTATTATAAAATCATTAAAAAACTCTGACAATTTGAATATCGAATATTTTAAAGAGGTTAATCTATTTTATTTTATTTTATTATCATAATGTAAATGTTCATAACGTTTACGTAAAAATGATTTAACAGGCAATGTCACATATAATATTCTCAAGTTCAAATTCAAATGGTGTCAAATGTTATGGAATAACTCGAGATCCTAATAACCTAGAATATATGTTAATTTTAAAATATATGAAGAATGGAGATCTTAATGCCTTTTTATCAGACAAAAACTATAAATTTAATTTAAAACATGTATATTCATTACTTCTACAGATATTTGAGGAACTTATATTTTTTCACAATTCAAATTTGGTGCATAAAGATCTTCATCCTGGAAACATCCTTTCAGATCAAGAAAAATGGGTTATTAGTGACTTTGGATTTTGTGGGCCCGCAGATAAAATTCCAACCGATCAAATTTTTGGAATTCTTCCTTATGTTGCGCCAGAAATATTATATGGTAAAAATTACACAACTGCATCAGATATATATAGTATGGGAATAATTATGTGGCAGCTTATAGCTAGATGTGAACCATTTTGTGATCGTGAATATGATATTCATCTTACAAGAGAAATTTGTGAAGGTTTACGCCCACCAGACATACCTGGAATTTATTCTGAATATGAATATATAATGAAAAAATGCTGGAATGCTGATCCTTTGCAACGACCAAATGCACAAGGATTATATGATTATTTTGATAAAAAGCTTAAACAAGCAGATGGAATAAATTTAGCATCAGATCTAGAAATTAATTATTCATTTTCAAATATCTATATACCTCACATCTATAAAAGCAAGATTATTAATTTTGAAGATTTACCCAATATCAAAAATAGACTAAACTCAAGTATGCCTTACTTAATTACAGTTGATTAAAATTATGACACTTAGTAATATTGTGTTTATTTATGTAATTATAGATGATACTAAATATAATTATGAAGTTGATGAATGTTTGCAAATGAATAGTGACGGTTTATCAATCCCAAAGCTAGATTCATGTCAAGACAATATTGGTAAATATAAAGTTTTGCACATCTAATCTGGGCAAAATAGCAATCAAAGTTGACAAAGAAATATTCGAATTTGTTTGTTATTATGTTAGATTACTTGTAATTTACAATATATTCTTAAATAATAATGGTAAATACTTATTTACACATATTAATAAAATATTCTAGACAACAAAATTGATAATGCTAGTGGAAATATGGAAATGGATGAAAAGAATAGATGGTAATATTTTATTATTAGCTCTAAATTCTCATTTAATTTAATTAAATATTCAGATTAAAAATAATAAAAAATCGTTATTATTTACATTTAAATTAGGAACTCCACTTCAAATTTTGGTCAAAATGGACCAGAAACTATAAATCTCAAATGTGGTTAGAATTTTTACTTAAATATTTTTTATTTATTGTTTTTATTAAGATAAATAAATATATTATATTTAAATTAGGATCTACTCCTCAAATTTTAAATATAGAAAGTTCCGAAATTATAAATATTAAACCTGGTAACACCATTTATTTTAATGCTTACTGCTTTTTTAAATATTATATTATTTTCTTAACAATTATCATATTATGTTTTTAAAAAATTAGAAATGATAAAAATTTCATCACAATTTGGGACAAGGATAAGTATTTATTTACGATTAGGTAAATACGAAGAATCACTTGCAGAACTCAATAGATTATTGAAATTTGATCCAAATAATGCACAAGCACTTGGCTGTCGTGGAAATATTTACATGGTATTAAATCAAGATGAAAAATCAGTTGCAGACTTAAATAAAGCATTAGAAATTGAACCCAATAATGAATTTGTACTTAGTCTTCGTGGAGATATTTATGGACGATCAGGTCAATATGAAGAGTCACTTGCGGACCTGAATAAAGCATTAGAAATTGAACCAAATAATGCATATGCACTTCATAGTCGAGGAGCTACTTATCTGCATTTAAGACGATTTAAAGAATCACATGCAGATTTTAATAGAACTTTAGAAATTAATTTGAATAATGCATGTGCACTTAGAGCCCGCGGAGTTACTCGTATGATGTTGGGTCTATATGAAGAATCCCTCAAAGATTTTAGCAAATCCTTAGAAATTGAACCAAATGATGTGGTAACACTGGTTTCTCGTATGTTTGTGTACGATAGGTCAAATCAGTATGAAGAATCGCTCGCAGATCTTAATAAAGCATTGGAAATTGAGCCAAATAATGCATCTGTACTTGCCATCCGCAGAATGTTGTTTCAATCTGAAGAATCACAATATGAAGAATCGCTTACATACTTTAACAATATATTGGAAATTGATCCAAATAATATTTTTGCACTTGTTAACCGCGGAAACATCTATAGACATTTAAATCTGTCTGAAGAATCACTTGCAGATTTTAATAAAATATTGGAAATTGATCCAAATAATCCATTTACACTTAATCTCCGCGGAAAAACCTATGCAAACTTACAACGATATGAAGATTCACTTGTTGATTTTAACAGAGCATTGGAAATTGAACCGAACGATGCATTTACATTAGAAAATCGCGGCCTTAATTATATAATATTGGGTAAATATGATGAGTCACTCGCAGATTTTGGTGAAATATTAGAAACTGATCCAAGTAATGTATCAGCATTTGAGTATCGTAAAATGGCCTTAAGAGAATTAGGTCTAAATGAAGAATTACTCGCAATTTGTAATAAAACATTATCAATTGACCCTAATGATGTAGATGAACTTTGTGATCGCGGATACAATTACCTTCAATTAGGCCGATATGAAGAATCACTAGCAGATCTTAATAGAACATTGAAAATTAAACCAAATTGTGTGCAAGCACTTACAATATGTTAAAACAATTTGCTGAATCAATTGCAGATTTTGATAGGGTACTGGAAATTGAGCCGAATAACGTAGCTGCGCTTAAATTCCGCGGATACGCTTACTTGTGTTTGGAAAAATATGAAGAATCACTTGCGGATCTTAATAATGCATTAGAAATTAAGCCAAACGATATAGATGCACTTAAGTATCGTGGATATATTTTCCAACAATTAAATCAATATGAAGAGTCTCTTACAGATCTTAATACAGCACTGGAAATTAAGCCAAATAATGCGGTTGCACTTATGTGCCGCGGATAACAATTAAATAAATATGAAGAATCACTTGTGGATCTTAATAAGGCATTGGAAAATGATTCTAATAATACAGTTGCACTTAGATACCGCGGATGCACTCACCAACAATTAAATCAATATGAAAAATCACTTGTAGATCTTAATAGATCGTTGGAAATCATGCCAAATAACGTTGTTGCACTTAAATATCGCGGAATTACTTATGAAAAATTAGGTCTATATGAAGAAGCACTCGTAGATCTTAACAAAGCATTAGACATTAATCCTAATGATTTATCTGTATTCAAGTAAATCTTATAATATTAACTAATCAAACATGTATTTTTTCTAATCACAAGTTTATGTGGTTGACAATAGATGCTAGGTCTTTTTTTTTTGTTTCTATATAAAGTTACATAAGTTATTAGGGTGTCAGATCAAAACTATGTTAGCAAACTATTGAATTTTATATTACACTAGCGTTTCTCGCGTTGCTTACGAAACACGCTTGCTTTAAATATAAGCACTAATGTATTGCTAAGTTTTTGTGATAAAATATTTAAACTTATACAGTACGGGACTAGGTCGGTTATTATCGGTTATTTTATGACCGTGACCGACCGGTTATGACGGTAAATAAAAAAACGTAACATTTTCGGGATCTTCCGTCTTATCGGGCTGATCCGTGTCGATCTTTGTCTTATCGGGGGGTCGGTTAAAGCGGAGCGAATTCAATATATGATCTACATACTGCATAAGTTGCATTCTTGATGTTTATATAAC